AGGCACTGAATGCAGAAGAGGCCCGCCTTCTTCATGTCAAGGAGATCATGCAAATCGATGAAAGGAAGCGGCCTTATAATAGCATTTATGAAACCCGGGAACCAACGGAAGAGGAAATGGAGGCCTATAGAATGAAGCGTCAGAGGCCTGATGACCCCATGGCTTCCTTCCTTGGCCAGTAGTAACTGGTCATTGGATGGTATCCATGATGGACACCTTATAAGTTTTTTCAGCTTGCTGATAAACACAGATGGAAAATTCTTGTCTGCTCTTCTTACTATCTAACCGTAATAAAACTTCCAGAAGTCAAATAGAGAATTTATTCCTTTTTACACACAGAAGAAACAAAAGAAGTTGTTGATTAAATGAGAATTTATACTTTCAGTTTTTTATAAGTGATGTGGAAAGAGGCCAAGGACCGTTATCATTGTCCTCTACTCCACAGTTCTTAAATTGCAACTTTTCATTTCCTCAAAATTTGAGGCCTATTAGTATTTGTACATAGACTTTAAAAAAAAAAAGAAATGAACTAGTTATCTTTTTTTCCAAAATAGAACTTGATGTTTTTTATTTGTTGTTGTTAAGTGCCATCAACTTGAGTAATACTCATAGCAACCCTATGGCCAACAGATCTGAACCATGTCCTATCCTGAGCCATCTTCATCATCTGTGACACACTTGAGCCCGTTGCTGCAGTTACTGTGTGTGTCCATCTCACTGAGGGTCTTTCCGGCAGCCTTCCACCTTTTAAAAGTATGATGTCCCTTTCCAAGGAGCAGCCTCTCATGGCGACGTGCCCCAAGTATGAAATGAAGCTTCGCCTTTCTTGCCTCCAAGGAGCATTCTGGCTGTACTCTCTCCAAGCTATATATGTTTGTTCTTTTTGGCAACCCATGAGAAATTCAGCATGCTTCTCCAACACCACAGCTCAAAGGCATTGATTCTTCCGCTGTCATCATTATACGTTGTCCAGATCTCAGATGCATAGTAGGTGATTGGAAAGACTATGGTTTACATCCAGCACCTTTGTCTTTAGACTGCCATCATTCATTCCTCTTTAGGACACAGGAGAGATACCTGACAGCAGCTTGCCCAATGCTGTGTATCTCCAGATCTCCTGACTGCTGGTACCAAGAGTGCAGTAATAACTATTAGAAACTGGGGGCCCAGTGGCAAGAAACTGCTGCACTCCTGAAGGCACAGCGTTGGAGACCACCAGCTGCTCCTCAGGAGAAGAATGTGCAGTCTCCTGTGATTAACTGCCTCTGAAAACCTGCTGGATGGTTCGCTGTGGGTTGGTTCCAGCTCCACAATACTCAACAATAACAGTTAATTATTAGCAACTCTTTATCTTCTAGGGTTAGGAACTGAAGCTAAAAAATTATCCTGCTTTGGACTTTAGATCACTAAAGGAAATCTGTACAACATGTAAATAACTTTTTCCCCATGTCAGTTTGATAATTTGTATCATGTTACTTGGTTATGAAGATTTGATGTTTAATAAATTTCTTTCTACCTTAACAAATAATTACATACGTTAGCCTAGACGTTATTTGGGAGTGGAAAAATAATTTTCTTCATTGCTGAATCAGTATCAATGATTCAGCACTTTTCTTTTTTTCCATTCTGGATGTGAACTTTTAGACATCATAAAATCTTAATTAGAGGGTAAGAGTTTGTGATAGTGTTTGTTGCTTTAATTGTCACCATCCTTTTATGCAGGCATAAGTAGTAAATTGGTTGAAGATTATGGAAAATCATTGAATCTAGTCTTTGTAGTCAGAAGGTGTCACTTTTGGTGTAAAATGTGCTAAAGACAAAACCTGAGGTTTCTTCAAGGAACTATAACATCATATTATAGGGGTATTAGTAACAGATTGTCATAAACCTCAAATCTCTAGCAACTATGAGTGTTGTGAAGTTAGAATGAAAACAGCTGATTAAAAACCTCTAAATAGGAGCACATTGACATTTAACAACTCTCAAGCTTTTCTGTCAAAAAATGCTTGAAGTCAGCATCTCAGAAATAATGCTGATAGAAGAGTAACAGTCAGAAAGTCAGCTATTGATATTCATGCCTTTGGGTGGGAACTAAAAGGTTGGTATTTCAGATCTACCCAGGCACATTCAAGGAGAAGAAGGTTGTCACAGTCTAAAAAACAAATAAATCAGCAACAGTATGTTTAAATCACAGTCCTACTTTCACACATGAGTTTGCCAGCTCAAGGCATGACACTAAGAAAACAATGACACTAAAAAAACTTCACACATTAATGAAGTTAAAACAATACAAATTTCATTCTCTGCTTAAACTGAACTTGATTGCCATCAAGTCTGAACTGACTGATCTCCAAGGCTGTTAACTGCAAAGCAGAAGATTGTCTTCCATTTTTTCTCTGGCAGAGCTGCTGGTGAAAGAACTGCTAGAGAGACACAGCTTTTGGGTTAGCAATGCAGCTCCCTACAGACTAGGCTACCGCAGCCCCTGGTAGTATAAAAACAAAGTGTCAAAACTGTCTGTTTCCTTATTAACTGAGGAGAGAGTTCAGCATAAAGCCGGTCATCTTAGTCTATTTTGACATTTTATTCCTTTTTTATCCGTGAAGATACATGCTTGATAATATGTAACTGAGAATTTTGTAACTTTATTTCAAATATTTGACACTAGAGTAACTACAGGACTGAGAAGTCTAGATTAGCTTCTGTGAGTTTCTCTTAGAAAATGTCCTTTAATAACAAAAATTCCCCCTAACTTTTGTGAACCTGAATTCTTTCCTCTGTGAAGCCTAATCTATTCTTTATTTTAGAAAGGGTTTTATTATCCAGAATAATTTTTTTGTTTTCCTTTTGAAAGTAAAGATAATATCTAGATTACCACTCTATTTTGAGCTTTTATGAGCTCAATAAGAGCTGCCTTTTCACTGCAACTTCATGGGGTAAATGGCAATATCTATAGATACAGATAGTTATTGATATCAATAAAGCAGCAGTCTTATCTAAGCACAAGAGAAAGGATTTAATAAACATTTTCTTTTAGTTTAAAGGCTAGAAGTCAAATTCAAAGCAGCAGCTCTCAGCGAAGATTCATGTCTATCTGTGACACCTCTGAGGAAGATCCTTGTGTCTCTAAGTACTTTATTGATGGCCTTCCTCTGCTTGGACCCTCTATTCCAAAATTACAACCCCTTCAAGCAACTGGTCTCTCCTGATAGCGTGCCCGAGGTGTGTGAGACAAAGTTTCACCATCCTTGCCTCGAACAGTACCTTGACTACATTTGTTCCAAGACATTTATTCTTTTGGTAGTCTATGGTAAAGGCAATATTCTTTGCCAGAACAATTCAAAGGTAGTAGTAATATTTTTTAAATTCATTGTTGTACATTTTCTATCTCCATCCCACTCTACCCCGCAATGCATTGTTCCAGATTGTTGTCATATATACAATGCCTGATCATATCAGGACAGTTTCTTCGTATTTGGACAGTTCTTCCCCTCATCTGTTCTAATGTAGTGTTTGTTACCTATCCACTGTTTTTCCATTCGCTCCTTAGCACCTCCCCCCCCACATCTGCCCTATTTCATAACAGCAGTGTTAGGCAGTATTTGTCCTTTTGTAATGGAGATACTTCACTCAGCATAATGTCCTCCAGGCTCCCCTATGTTATGTAACAGAATGAGTTCATTGTTTTTCAAAGCTGCATAATAAATACTCCATTGTGTGTATCTGCCATAGTTTTTCTATCCATTTTTTGATGGACACTTGAGTTGCTTCTACCTCTTTGCTATTGTGAATAACACAGCAATAAACATGGATGTGCATACATCTGTTTGAATTGTGGCTCTGGTTTCTTTAGGGTATATTCCCAGTAGTGGAATTGCTGGGTCAAATGGTATTTCTATTTTCAACTTTTTGAGAAAATGTCAGTGGCTTTACTATTTTACACTACCACCAACAGTGTTCCAATCTCTCTACAACCTCACAAGCATTTTGTTGCTTGCTGCCCTGTTGAACTTTGGTATTGTTCCTGGGGTGAGATGATACTTCGTAGTTGTTTTGAAGTAATAACTGGCCGTTTTTATTCCTTGTTCAATTCTCACACGCATGAAAAGCAATTGAAAATACATATTGACTTAAGACAGGTGCACCTTACTCTTTAATTGACATCTTTGCTCTAACATTTAAAAAGTTACTTACCAGCCAATTTGCTAAGTATAAGTCTTGATTGCTACTTCCACGGATGTTAATTATGGATTTAAGTAACATGGAATTGTTGACATCTTCAATCTTTTTTTCCTTTTACCATGTTGTTGCCTATTTTATGTTGTGATGTAATCCCTGCTGAAAACTGTAGTCTTTGACCTTCTTTACTAAGTGCCTCAAGTATTTCTCAATTTCAGCAGATCAGGTGGTAATTAATGCAGGTTGTTAATGAGTCTTCCTCTAATCCTAATACCTCATTCTTCACATAATCTTAGTTTTTCAAGTTACTCATATGTTTGCTTGTGGTGGTGTTATGTGCCGTCTAGTTGGAACGGACTCATAGCTGACCCTTCCGTAGATAGTTGTTGTTAGGTGCTGTCAAGTCACAGCAACCCAATAAATAACATATCTGCACCCTGTGCTATCCTGTGCCATTTTCACACTTACTGACACATTAGAACCCATTGCACTGTCACCATGTCAATCCACATGGTCAAGGGTCTTCCTCTTCTTCCCCAACCCACTACCTTTTGAAGCATCATGTCCTTCTCCAAGGAATAGCCCCTCCTAGCAACATGCCCAAAATATGTGAGACAAAGCCTCATCATGTTTACCTCCAAAGATCACTCTAGCTATACTCTCTCCAAGATATGTTTGTTCTTTCAGCAATTTACTGGATGCTCAGCACTTTTCTGCAACCCACAGCTCAAAGGCATAAATTCTGTCATTCTCACTCATTGTCTAGCCCTCAGATGCATAGCAAATGATCAGAAAGACCATGGTCTGAATGAGATACACTTTAATCCTCAAACTGACATCATTACTCCTCAAGATTTAGAGAGGTCTTTTACTGCAGATTTTCCCAGTGCAATGTTGTTGTTATGTGCCATCGAGTTGCCTATGACTCATAGCTACCCTATGTATATTATCTTTCAACACTGCCATACCCTGAGCCAATCTCATTATCTCCAGTACACCTAAT